TTTTTCAGTAATAGTGTGCTGTGACACTAGTATTTTTCTGTCTGATTTTGTAAGCAAGTACACCTCTACCCCGATATAACACGAATTCGGATATAACGCGGTAAAGCAGTGCTCCGGGGGGGCGGGGCTGCGCACTCCAGCGGATCAAAGCAATTTCGCTATAACGCGATAAGATTTTTTGGCTCCCGAGGACAGCGTTATATCGGGGTAGAGGTGTAGTTTTTAAGTGAGGTGAAACTTAGGGTATGCAAGACAAATCAGACTCCTGAAAGGGGTACAATAGCCTGGAAAGGTTGAGACCCTCTGCTGTAGATTTTCTCTCCTGTAAATTTTGCAATCTCTCAATTTGCACCTGGATCAGTTTGCAAAATAGCATACACTGAGAGACATACAATACACAAATGGCCAGAAAGGGAGATAGGTGTATGCAGTGTTGTAGCCACGTCAGCACCAGGATATTAGAGAAACAAAGTGGTTGTGGTAATATCTTTTATTGGACCAACTATACGTGTCAGTTACGTCCTGCCTGACAGGAACATTTCCAAGGTATGTCACCTCTCGGTGACCTGACTTAACTCTAAGATCTTAAGAGCATAATTTTCAGTATAGATACCCAACTCTTTAAGGATTATCTATATGTACATCTCACAATGATTGTGTCGACCAGTGAGCAACTGACTCTTGGTAGAGACCTCACATGCCACCTTTGGTGAACTATTATGCAGATATCCAACCCAGGGGATCCCTCTAAAACCCTGTACAATCCCTGTTTCCTCTGCCAGTTGGTACCAAGGGGTACCTGGGTCATGCCCCAGTGTGACACAGATAAGCTAAGAATAGAGAAGGGAATATAGGCTTCAGTGATCTTATTTGAAATCAACTCTGGCTAGTCAGCTCCACAGTATGAAGGTGGGTTTTTTTGGCGGGGGAGGGTGGGCGTGTTGGCTAGCCTTTCCTGTAGTTAGTCAATAGTGCACGGTATGGCTCACCAGCAGACTTTTGGGGCTTGATGGTTCAGTAGTCTACAGGTCTTTTGCCCCATGCTAATAAAAGTGCGTGTGCACACACTGTCTCTTCATGGTCTCAGTTATGTGCTCAGATATATAAAACAAATGCATGTCCTGGCAAAAGTAGTAATTGTGCGCTTTTGCATAAATTCAGTCATTAACGTTTTCAAACTGTATGAGAAAGCTGTATCTGAAAGATGGACCAAGCCCTAAAACTTTAATAAGATGAACCAAGAAAACTAAATACTCCTAAGGAGGGAGGTTAAAAAAAAAATGTTGTGAACAGGCAAGCAGCAACAGCTGGACAGGTAGTTACAAAGAATTTGCATGTTTCAACTAGCATTTCTCTAGGCTATCAGATATGTTTATCTGAAATAGATCTTCAAGAATTCTTGTGTAAGAATGCATAGCTGTGTGGTGGAACCTGTGTGTTGTGAGGACAAGACGGATTTTCTCAACATGTAGCTTAAAATTTTTATTAAAGCTAATGTTTAAAAAATTATATAATACATAGGTTGAGAAAAGAGTGTCTGTACATCTGGGTATAGTGCTTAGATCATCCACAAATACAGAGTTTGTTTTTCAAGGCATATGATACATAGAGTACATAATAAACAATAACCCAAATTTAGGTGAATAGATTTAATAATACAGTTTAGATACACCTCTATGCCGATATAACATGATCCGATATAACACGAATTCGGATATAACGCAGTAAAGCAGTGCTCCGGGGAGGCGGGGCTGCACACTCCGGCGGATCAAAGCAAGTTCGATATAACGTGGTTTCACCTATAACGCAGTAAGATTTTTTTGGCTCCCGAGGACAGCATTATATCGGGGTAGAGGTGTATTAGAATCTGAATACTCGGGTACATCACTCATGAAAAGTTGTACAGAGATTTGGTTGTGGAAAGCAAAATATATCAATGAGTGGAGATTGTCCCTCAGTAATTGAGAATTAGGTTGGTTGTCCATGAGGAAAGTATTTGTTACTTTCCTGACTGTGCTTCTCATCGGCACTCCAGCTCATCTCTCCTGGTATTGCTGGGCCATGGCTCTTGCCATTCTCTGCCCACATGCAGTAGCAGCCCACTGGAAGATGCCGGCCTTTTCTCCCTCCCTGTGTTGCAGCTGGCAATGTGAGTAGTTCATGCCCCCACTCCTGAGCAGGTGCACAGCCAGGCTCATAGTTAAGACTAATGAGCAGCACAAGAAGTGCCAATGAATTCACGGAATTGAAAAGTACAGCTAACTATGAGTAAGGGCGTCGGAATCTGACCTTGTCAGAGCTGGAATAGCGAAGAAAGACAAATCCTTGTTGATGTTAACCTTGCCTAAGAAAACAAGGTTCAAAAGGACGTGAATTGTATTAAACAATGCCCAGTGTGCTGCTAGGCACTGAAGACTCTGCATTGACAGCACAGCTGCCATGAATCAATATAAATCAGTTCAGCTAGAGCATCCAGTTAAAATAAATAAAATAAAAATAAATTAATGGAGATATCCTATCTCCTAGAACTGGAAGGGACCTTGAAAGGTCATCGAGTCCAGCCCCCTGCCTTCATTAGCAGGACCAAGTACTGATTTTGTCCCAGATCCCTAGGTGGCCCCCTCAAGGATTGAATTCACAGCCCTGGGTTTAGCAGGCCAATGCTCAAACCACTGAGCTATTCCTCCCCCCCTGTTGTGATTATGGATTAGTAGAAATATTTGTCTCTCATTCTGAAGTCACACTGAATTGTACAGTGGTACAGCCATTGTTATCAGAACCATCAGATGATCACTGTCTACTTGAAATGTATTTGTATTGGTATTGCGATAGTGACTAGGACCCCATTGTGCTAGGCACTGTATAAACATGGAACAAAAAATCAGTCCCTGCCCCAAGGAGCTTACACTCTGCTCAATTAAAAAAAATTTAGAATTATGTACTGCACCTGCCTCAGTTTCTCTGCCTTTTTTTTTTATTATTATTTTTTTAATCACATTTTCCTGTTTGGGTTTTTAAAAAACTTCTTTTCCCTCTTGTTCTGTGAAGTATCTATACAAACTGAGGGGCCAATCCTGCAAAGACTTACACATGAGCATCTCTGCTCACCTTAGAGCCACGAGGTTCATTTGATGTAGGTCCTGATCCTCCAAAGTCTTAACTGGCGAGTCGAGGGGGATAATCTGAGATTGTCTCGCTTGTGGATTTGACAGCACTTTGTGTATGAACAAAATAAATTAAAAATTAGAGGATTTTTTTGGTCTCATCTTTCAGTTACAGAACTCTTAGGAGTTTGTTGTAGCTTCAGTACATTTTAAAAAAAAATCAGTCTACCTAACTTTAAGATGACTTTTATATTTTGCCTTTCATGGGACTTGATCCAAAGCCTATTGAAGTCAATGGGAGACTTCTGACCCAAAATGCACGAGTGAATGTGGAACAAATAACTGGATTTACATTCACTTTTTTCTCCTGCTGAGCTTGTTGGCTTGTGGCTTTTTGGCGCTGTTCAGAGGTAAATACCTGCAGTATTCTTGCTCCTCCCAAACTTACCAACTTCAAGCATTCAAAAATCACAAGATTAGCGTAAAAATTAGTATTTTTCAAAAATAAATTTAGGGTTTTTTTATTTACCTTTTAGTATCTAAGCCTTTAAGGGTGCATTTAGATCACATTTTAAAGCTTTTTCTCTGCAGTTATGAGGGCCACAAACTTTTTTGTTTTAAGGAAAAGCTGATTTTCATCTAATTACAGGACTCCAGCAGCAGCTAGAGCTTTAAGAAATACACCAAATAGTGAGATTAGCAACATTGCTTCCAGCCCACCCACTCCTTTTTCAGGACCCCTCTGTACTGGATTTTTTCCAGACCCCAATTTATACCTTCTCCCTGAATGACTTGTGCCGGAGGGGCCTTGCTGCTGACAGAGAGAAGCTACATGGGTCTCTCATCAGAATGTATTAGAATAACTTCTAGCTTAGGCAAAGAAGTCCCTGCAGAAAAATGCAAGCTGCTCTTTCGCTTGGGAAGCTAATCACACTGCCTCTGCAGCGCTCAATTCCTTAACAGCCTTGGCAGCCATGAGACCAGACTCAGAAATAATCAAATGCAGGTTTTTCACTTGGTAGCTCAGAGCACTAACCAGAATGCAGGAAGAACCAGCCCCAGGCTTTGTCTTTTTGAAACAAGAGCCCTGATGTTATCTGCCAGCACACCTCCAGCAGGAGCAATACAGCAACATTCCAGAAGCTGAAGGGTGGGGTGATACTTAACAAGCGAGCAACTACAAAAGACACTTCACTTGTCCTGGAACAAAAGAAGTATTAAAACTTCCTCTGAATTCAGATAACTTGTTGGGGGGAAATCTCATGGTTGTTTTTTATTCTTCCAAAAAGGTAAATGTTCTGTTTCTGAAACACCTGCTAATATTCTGTGAACATTAGACCTTCAATGTGATCATTTACATACTGATAGGAATCTGTAGGGAAAGTTCAATAAAATGGCTCTGTTTGATAAAAAACCTGATTTTAATTGATAATTGAGTAGAGGGGGGAAGTGGTGGACCTGTTTGCTTTAGGTTTAGAGGATCAGATTCTTATCATTAGTAGCCACAAGTACTCCTGTTCTTTTTGCGGATACAGACTAACACGGCTGCTACTCTGAAACCTATTCTTATCATTGCATCACTATAAATCTGAAGTTTACACCATTGACTTCAATTTATGATTGAGAAACTGAGATCAGAATCTGGCCCAGATAGCTGAACATTGGTCTAAGACTTCTTTATTTGGACCCCAGCAGTTGTCCATAAGCCATGTCTTTTTTTAAATTACAAAAATATATATTTCTAAGGTACAAAAGCTCTCCTTGCCTTATATAATAAACTCAATAATGTCAGCATTGAAAGTTGACTTTAAAAGATTGTTTGTTTAACTTGGTAACCTAGCAAGCTTGTTTTGTTTTGTTTAAAGTTCGAATTGCTAACCTCAGTTGTTTTCACAGGACGCACCTTTCCAACACATCCTTATTTCTCAGCACAACTGGGAGCTGGGCAGCTGTCACTCTACAATATTTTGAAGGCCTATTCTCTTCTGGACCCGGAAGTAGGGTATTGCCAGGGCCTTAGTTTTGTAGCAGGAGTTCTGCTGCTTCATATGACTGAAGAAGATGCTTTTAAGATGTTGAAGTTTCTTATGTTTGACATGGGCCTAAGGAAACAGTATCGTCCCGACATGACTATTTTACAGGTATTTGTTTTTATGCCTCTGTAAAAAGGATGCTGCTGATAATAGCAATATAATTTGTTAGTGATGTGATTGTCAGATTCTGCTTTTTGACTCCACTGCAGAATCACTAAAGAGGAGAAGGGGCGCTATAAAGAGGATTAGATCTTAAAGAGATTAATGTTTCAGTTTGAGAGAGGCCATTGGGAAATTATGAAAAACACACACAACTCTGTTGCTTAAGACTAATTTACATTCAAGTAGCCCTTGTATGAAAGTGTGTCTTCAGATAGCCCTGCATAGTTTGCTATTGTAGGGAGAAAATACAGGGAACCCTGAAACAGGGAGCATTACCTCTGCCAGCTTAGGGGTGAGAGGGATGGTTAATGTGAGCAATCATGAAGTGCTACCCACTGAGTCACTGAAAAGGCTCCAGGTTACTTTAGTTTCTTATAAGTGTGTTTGAACATTAATTGGTAGATATTTTTCACTCCTTCTTTCTCATGAGAAAGTATAGCATGAGCTTTGTTCTTATAACTTCCAGCTAGTCTGTTATTCTTAGTCAGTTCTTCATTGCTTTTTCTCTTTCTCTTCTTTGCAGATCCAGATGTATCAACTTTCCAGACTTCTTCACGATTACCATAGAGATCTCTACAATCACTTGGAGGAGCATGAGATTGGCCCTAGTCTCTATGCTGCCCCCTGGTTTCTGACCATGTTTGCCTCTCAGTTTCCCCTGGGATTTGTTGCCAGAGTGTTCGGTAACTCTTCATAAAAATATCTTTCTGGTCTTCTTGAAACTGTGTTTGCATTGCTACAGGTTCCAGCCTGTTTCATACACCTAAGACAATATTTATGCTATTTTTGATTAATAGTCCCTTCCACTGATGTATTGTGTAGTGACAAAAGTCAACTTATAGGAAGTGAATGTGTGGAGTTTATAGCAAAATGCTGTTCAGAGACCGTAGAAGGTTGGAACTGACTGTCTTGTCTCTTCACCTCTATTGTTAATTTTTTTTCTCTTTGGATTTCCTCATTCTTCTCATTTCAGCTGAGTGCTATAATACTTCCCAATTACTGAGCCCTCCTGCGTTCATTAAGTTGGAAATCCCACTTCAGCAATGTCCCAGGCTTTCCCTTCACAAAGGAATGCTGGCATTGCTGCAGTGAGGCTCTACCAACATTGTTCTGTGCTGTATAATCGTGCTAACTTTAGCCTGCTTTGCTCCTGAAGTATTCAGTGTGGATCTAATCTTTTCATTTAACATCTGGTCGGACACTTTCTGAGATTTTACACTGTTCTGCTTGCCTGACTCCAGACCCATCATTGCCCATTCTCTTGCAGGCATTACATCTGTTGTATTGTCACACAGTGGTCTAGGAATACAATACAATACATACTCAAGAGGGGCACGAAACCAGGCAATTGGTGTCCCATGACTAAATCAGTATACCCATAAATGGGTGGCTCAATTAACTATACGTACATATTGAAATAAAAAGTGTGTTTTGCCTGGATCACTGTAGTGGAGCCACGCTTAGATGAATGACTTGCCTCACTAAGAACAAATACAGTGGCCAAAAGTTAATAAGACACAGCAAGAATGACTTATTTCAACCAGATTAGTTGCTTGCTTAGGGCAGTGGTTCTCACCAAGGGTACGCGTACCCCTGGGGTACATCAACTCATCTAGATATTTGCCTAGTTTTACAACAGGCTACATAAAAAGCACTAGTGAAGTCAGTGCAAACTAAAATTTCATACAGACAATAGCTTGTTTATACTGCTATATATACTGTACACTGAAATGGAAATACAATATTTATATTCCAGTTGATTTATTTAGTAATTATATGGTAAAAATGAGAAAGTAAGCAATTTTTCAGTAAGAGTGTGCTATGACACTTGTATTTTTATGTCTGATTTTGTAAGCTAGTAGTTTTTAAGTGAGGTAAAACTTGGGGGTATGCAAGACAGATCAGACTCCTGTAAGGGGTACAGTAGTCTGGAGAGCGACTGGCTTAGGCAGTAGGCAGGAGCTGATGCACGTAAGAGCCAAGGAGACAGTATAGCACAGTGGTGCTATATATCCTAGAAATACATTAGCTTCACGGCACAAAGAAACACATCGAGAGAAACATACAATCAAGCATTGTTTTCAGAGCGTAGGAATTGTTGTAAAATCAGTGGTCCACATACTCCAGTATGCTTGCGTCCAAAATTGTCTGGGCCAGCTGCTTCTGAAAGTGGTGCAAAAAACCTTTCAGTCACAGTTATGGAACAACTTCTCCACAGGGAAAGTTTCTTCCTAAATAACATTTAGTTAGTTAGAGATTGGGTGATGCCCCGAAGAATAACCCTGGCTATTTTAACTCTGGCTATTGAGTAAAATTTTCAAAAGCACCTAAGTCCCAACGTGATTTAGGCTGCTGTATCACTTTTTTGAAAATTGTTACCCATTGTCTGCATCCATGTAAATGTCCAGTTCTTTTTAAAAAAAAAAAAAAAAAAAAATCCTATTAAGAACTTGGCCTCAATAATATCATGTGGCAATGAGTTCCGTATACTAACTTCATGTTACGTGAAAAGGTATTTATGTCCCTTTATCAGTTTTAAATGTTCTGCTTTTCTATTTCATTGAATGTCCCCATGATCTTATTCTTATGAGAATGAGCACTTCTATTTACCAGTCTACCTTCTCTATGCCCTTCATCATTGCATATATCTTTAGCGTGTCCTCTCATTTGTCTCCTCTCTTCCCAATCTTTTAAAGCTTTCTTTATATGGAAGTTGTTTCTGTACCTCTAATCATTCTCATTTCCTATCTTGGTAAATAGATTTGAGGGATCAAGCATACAAGGTGCAATGATTTACTCATGCATTAAAATGACCACTTTCCTAACCTTTTTAATCAGTCTCTTTTTCAATACAAAAGCAAATAATAAATATATATTTCAAGGAGAATAGTCCTGTTCCTATTTAAGTCAATGCAAAATATGGAATTGGAAAATACCATGGTGATAAGGATGGAATAGATTATATAGATAAAATCTATATTTGCTGCATTTTTTGATACACAGCTAGTTATGGTGAGCACAGCACCTAATCAAGGAACAAGGTTGTGTTCTAAACAGGTTAGCCTCACAATAATCAATGTCTAACTGACAATAATTCTGTTCAGGAATGGAATGAAAATGAAAGTGTCATGCACTGAGTTTATAATCAACATTCCTCTTTTCAATCATCCATGATTAACTGTATTATCAATTATCATGTTTCAGTATGCTCCTGTGTGAACTGCTTGACTGCAGATATACAAAAGACACATGCTTTTAGTTTATGCCCAACCTAATACATTTGTGACTCCTCAATATATAGATTTGCATATCATGTGTTTTGCTTTTAATTTGCCACTGGAAGATTATAGAGCTTTAAAAAGCAAAGAATTTACAGTGGAATAAAAGGTTGAGATAAGTAAATGACTTATGTGGAACTAGGGTCTTGTCACAGCAGAGGAGCATGTGAGACTAAAACCACCTCCTAAAAATCATTGTTGTTTCCCAGAAGAACAAGTCCAGCGTTGAAAGTCTCACAATATTTGGTGGTTTTCTTTAAACAGCAACTCCTGGAAGCATATGATTAGGTGAGAATCTTGAACTGACACCTTTATAAAATGAAAGTTTCTCACCCTCAGCCATGCCAAAGGCTCAGAAATCTGAAGAAAGATAGAAACCTAAAACTTCTTTTTTAATTGTCACGATTTTAAGCCAATCTTATGATTTTTGAATGGTTGGAGTTGGCAATACTGCACATAGTGCTGGGAACCAGGTAATTCCTACACAACTGGTCACTCAGTTTTGCACAACCTGACAGGTTTTGGTTTTATCACTCGTTTATTAGATTCCTAGGGAGGAAGAAAAAAAAGTTGAATTCTAGTGTTTCAAATGCAGACTAACCAAGGAAAACTGATTTACCTGCCAACTTTTGACTGTGCAGCCCATTCAATGGAAAGCTACTTACCCTACAGGAACTGGAGTTCTTTGGAGGTGTTGTCCATATGCACTTTCCATTATAGGTGCATGGGTACCTCATTCCCTTGAGTCTGGAATCTTTGGCCAGCAGTATCCAGACAGTGTGCGTGCACCCTGAGTTCTCATGCTCTGTATCGATGGCATATAAGAACAGAGTGCACCAGTGCTCCTCAGTTTCCTCTCAACTGCAGCATCTCAAGGATCAGGACTCTAAACGTGAGGGGTGGTGGGTAAGTTGTGGAATGTGCATGTAGACAACACATCTCGAAGAACTCCTGTTACTGTACAGGTAAGTAACTTCACATTCTCCTTCGCATGGTTGTCCATATGCACATTCCAGTATTGCTTACTCCCAGGCAGTAACCTCAGAGTCTCCGCTTTGACCACTTCATACTGAAAGCTATTAAAAATATCAAAACTATTAACTACTCAGTAGAAATTAGCTGGCAGTCGCACAGACTGCAAGCTCCCTCTCAAAGCCAGAAGCACTGAGGAGCACTGGTGCACTCTGCCCTTACATGCCCTTGATGCAGAGCATGAGGATTCTCAGGGCGCATGCACACTGCCTGGTCCTGCTGGGTAAAGACCAGGGTGCATGCCAGGATACTGCTGGCTAAAGACTCTGGACTGAAGTGCATGAGGCACATGTGCACCAATAGTGGACAGGCCATTGACTCCTGCAACCCAGTAACAATGTAGTAGTTAAAGGTACAATGCGTTTAGACTACCTTAGAGCCCACTGTCTTCTGAAGGCTATACTCCAGTGTATTAAAGCCATAGGTTATAAAGAAGTTCTGGAGTTACAAAGCTGTGTTATGCTAGAAAGTAGCAAAATTGCCTTTTTCCTTTTTTCTCCATCTGTCCAAACTTTCAACACTTCAGAATAGAAGGTTATGTGAGGGTACTGCAAAACAAAGGTTCTCTAAAACCTCCTATTTACTTAGTGGTGGAGGAGACTTGGAAGAACAACATTTATTCTGTTCCAAGATTGTAGATAACTTGATTTTAAATCCTGATGTCTGCCAGTCATGCTGACGTTAATTTGGATGCCTACATTGCATTGTCGCTGGCTTGCAGCCCACTTACAGCAAGCCTTAGGGATGGATAAGCTCCTAAAACAAATGGGCCTTTGTTCACTGCTCACTATTTTATATACGAGTGAGGGATTTCAGAAGTATATAATCAATCCAGCTCATACCTTAATACCGAATAGGTCACTTTGAGTTAATCTGCATCTTTTCTAGGGGCAAGTGTTGGGTCATGTAGATGTATTATTCTCTGCTTAATTAGGTTCTGCTTTGTACTTCATCTTTCTTGATTCTTGCTTGGTGTTCGCTATATTAATATTAAATACTGTAGATTCCCTTAAAGAGCAGTGTCCTGTATTTTTGAAGTTTAGCTCAGTGGTTTGAGCATTGGCCTGCTAAACCCAGGGTTGTGAATTCAATCCTTGAGGGGGCCATTTAGGGAACTGGGGTAAAAAAAAAAAAAAAAAACTGTCTGAGGATTTGTCCTGCTTTGAGCAGGGGGTTGGACTAGATGATCTCCTGAGGTCCCTTCCAACCCTGATATTCTCTGATTTCTATAGACATATGAAGACAGATGCTCACTTTCCATTACATCTTTCAGAGCAGCCCTCCTCTTATAGAATGTACCGAATTGGAACTGGAGCTGTTTGCACTGTTTTTAGGATGACTGGGGCAGAAATATAAGATTTATTATCAGTTATTGCATGTGCTTCATGCTCTTTCTGTCCCTCTGTGTGAGAGAGAGATGAATACAGGAAAGGAGTGAAATGAGTTATGACTTCAGGGTAAAGTCAAGGAACTGTAGGGGGAAACTTTCATTCTGATGCAAGCTTCAAAGGGGAGAATATTTGTACAGAGAAATGTAGTCAGCAAGTGTTTTCTTATGTTCTTTGCTGCACTGGAGAGACTTGAGGTTTTGACATCAGCATTTTCCCTCATTGCTCAGTTTCTTCTTCTATTTGATCATGAAGTCCTAATGTGTTTGGCATCAGCCTATTACCATGTAAGTTATTGTGATGCTACCAGTTCAGCAGCATGACTTCATTTGCAGGTTCAAGTAGAAGGAAGAGCGATAGGAAGCTTTTGTATAAACACAGATATATTTGGTAATTAGCAAACCTGAACTGAAAACAAAAATCCACTTACTCTCCATATGGTTTCCTCCTCCCCTTAATAACTTTTTGTAATATACTGGATACTTCCTCCTGTATGAAAGTCGCTCTTTAAAACCCAGAGCAGATTTTGAGGTCTAGTAGCAAGAGAGTCTATGGAGGAAAAGAGCTTTTTGTATCTCCCCTGGCCAGATGGATTGTGAGCGGTATCGTTGGCTGCTGCAGGGTTGCTCTCATGTATTTCCTGTCTCCGTGAAGACCTGTGCTAGATTGTAGGTTGTTTGTAAAGGAAAAAGGAAGAGATGGAAAGGAAGTTAATGCTGAAAGGTAGCTAGTTACTGTGGCTGCACTGTGCTGAATGTGTACCAGGATGCTGTCTTTATGGGGCCACCTGCAGCATTAATACACAGCCTACATTAGTGAGATATCAAGATACACTACAAATGTGATTACTAGTGTGGCTTGTTAGGATATTAATATGTTTATCAGATACTTATATTAAAAAGCAAATAAACCAAATGCTGTTAGAAAACTGATTTCTTTAACTCAAGTCCCATACGCAGTGTGGTATGTTTTCCTAATGCAGTTTTCCACTTCCCTCCAGTAGGTAAGAAATAGGGCTGAAGAAAGATTACACTCAGTCCTTATAATTAAAGTGTAGGTACCTACTGATTTATTAAAGTTCTTTAATTTATAATCCCATTCAAGCTCAGAACTGACAGCTGAACAATAAATTCTGCTGCTTCCATTTACTTCCTCATAGAGTTCTCATGACCCCCTTCAAAAAACATAACACATACAAGAAGAAGTAACACTGTCCAATTTCACTGCATTGCCTAGCTTATACATAGCTTAAATATGTACTGGATGTCTCGGGTGATAACTCACCAACCAGTAGGGGGACCAGATGTCCCGATTTTATAGGGACAGTTCCGATTTTTGGGTCTTTTTCTTATATAGGCTCCTATTACTCTCCACCCCCGTCCTGATTTTTCACATTTGCTGTCTGATCACCCTACCAACCAGGGTAATTGATCTAGCTAGTGAAACACACTATTGTCACTTAAAAAATTGGATAATAATGGTCCTGATGTATTGTGACGGGTTCCCCCTGGGGTGCCACCTGGAACTGGGGTACCACTGAGCCCACCTGACCCACCAGCCTGGGCTTCCTTTACACTATATTGCTGTGACAGGCCCTCAACCCCCCTCCAGCACACGTACATGTAGGGACACACCCAGCTGCAGCTACACAGAGATGCTGAGATCAGCTCTTCAAGGGAAGGCTCAGCTAAGGCACCTCCCAGTTCCTAAGGCACGCACTCACCTCTGGAGTGTAAACCCAAAATTGTATCATTTTGCGTTTCACAGGGAACTGTACAGTATAAGCTCATGAAATTAGCCCCCTCCCTCAATGTGGAGAGGAATATACACAGGTTTCTGCCCCAACTAATAACTCCTGCACACACTGGTTTTAGACAAAACAAAAACAAGTTTATTAACTACAAAAGATAGATTCTAAGTGATTATAAGGATAGCAAACAGATCAAAGCAGATTACCTAGCAAATAAAACAAAAACGCAATCTAAGCTTAATATACTAAATAAATTGGATATGAGTAGCAAATTCTCACCCTAAATGATGATTTAAGCTGGCTGGGGGCTCTTAAGGGCATGCTTCACTTGCTTGCAGCTTAAAACCCCAGGTATTCCTTTCACAGGCTAGAAATCCCTATAGCCTGGGTTCATCCCTTCTCCCCCAGTTCCTTTTTTCTCAGGTGTTTCTAAGCATCTCCTTTGGGCAGGGAGTCAGTGAAGAACCACGTTATGTCACTCCCCTTAAATAGCTTTTGCATATGGCAGGAACTCTTTGTCTCCAACTTTAGTTCCCATGCCTTTCAGTGGAAACACACTGGTATTCCAAGATGGAGTCCAGTACCAGGTGACTTGGTCACATGTCCCTGTAGGGTCATAGCAGCCATGAGTCAGAGGCTGTTTATAGCGTCCTCAGGAAGGCTCCCTGGTGGGAGATTAGCATCTTCTAAGACCTAATGGCCCTTCCCAGCCAGCCATCTAGACTGATTGCCTTCTGCCTACTGGGCGTTCCCCAGGTGTAAACACATTTGTAATAGGTGCATAAGCAATATTCCTAACTTCAGATACCAAAATGATACACGCATACAAATAGGATAATCATATTCAGTGAATCATAACTTTTTTTCAATGATATCTTACATGACCCCTCTTGCATAAAATACATCATAGTTATGCCATAATCATATCATATAATAATATTGCTATGAAGAATATGGGGCATAATGCCACATGTATGTTAATGCTTTAGAAAAAATCACAGCCCACTACACAACACATGCATGTGTGGACACGCACATTCACTCTCTCTTACATGTGGCTATTTGTACACTATTTCGGCAGAACAGGAGAAGGAACTCCTTTACATAGCATTGCTCAGTTCATGACCTTGAAGCATATGACTTAGCTAGCATAGCTGAAAATACAGTTCCTACATAAAATATATGTATATATGATCCTTTCAAAAATCCCACACATTGTGTGTCTTATTGACTTCCTGTGATGCAGATTCCATGGATTAAAGAAATGTTTCTTTTTCAGTGTAAAACTTTTACAAAAGTTCCGTTTCCCCTTTCAGTGTAAGGTACTATTAAAAAAAAAAACTGTTTAACTAGAAAACACAATTACAAAAATGCCTGATTGGTGAATATTTCTAGCCTCTTGATCTCTATAGTATATGAAGGTGTTATACTTTGGAAATTTTACTGTTGTATTATTCTTATCAAAAGATGTGCTTGTTTTATATACTTTTGGTTTTTCTTTGTTTTCACAGATATGCTCTTTCTTCAGGGATCAGAGGTTATATTTAAAGTGGCTTTAAGCCTGTTGGGAAGTCACAAACCCTTGATTCTGCAACATGAGAACTTAGAAACCATAGTGGATTTTATTAAAAACACTCTCCCAAACCTGGGCTTGGTACAGATGGAAAAGACCATTAATCAAGTATGAGACAATCTGAACATTTACCTATTATCAAGAGAAATGATGTTCTTATTAGCAGAAGTTAGGAGCAGTAGTATTCTTTTGTAAAATCACAATGGAGAAAAGTGCTTGTGCTATTCCTAGTTGAGAATAGGTTACTAATTGTAGTTTGGAATATGTTAAAGAAGCTTTCGAACCATTTAACTTATACAGTACCTGGGCATCCTTACATATTAGTTAGTCATCATTAATTACATTGTTAATTACATTTACAGTTCTGATTTTTACTAAGTGTATTTAATTGATTTTCATTTTGTTGGCAATAATACTGTATCCCAGATACAGTGCATTCTACAGGATAGGCAATAAGGTGGGCTGAATGACTACTAGGCTTACCCATTTCCAGAGTCTGATTCTCTACATCTAATTTCAGAAGAAAAAAATAGTTTTACGAGAGCCTCGTGCATGTTAACTTTTCTTACCCACGCCATAGACTTCTCTTTGTTGATGATGTCTGCTCTGCCAAGTTGTATGATGCAAGTTTGTTAATACGTAGCAAAATGCTGTGGAACATCAAACTTGTCTTCCAGGCAGAGGAGATGGGATGGTGCAGTCTCCTGCATTCAGTCATAGTACTGGGAAACATTGAGTCATCCCTCAAGATGGCAGTTACTCCATTGGGGAGGGAAATGATGAAACACTACTGTGATTAAAAGGTGGTTCTAACGGATGCACAGTGTAGTCTCATTTATCCAAATCTCTTCCTTGTCCCTCAGTGTGAGGTACATGCTACAGAGGGCATCTATCTCATGCTGGGGGACAAGGAAGGGATTGGGATAATGTGGAGGTCTGGATAATAGAGAAAAGACCCACAGTCAGCATTGCAAAGAGGAGGACGAGACCCCGGGTGCAGAGGAGGCCACCCTGCTGCTGAATGGCTCCTGTGGCAGCCAGGGAGACCTCTGCAGCCTCGCTGTCACATAAGTGAGGGAGCCGGGTCATGACAGCAGAGCTGCAGAGTTTTCCCGTCACTGCTGCAGGACCAGTGACACCTGATCCCAAAAGGTGCCGGGGGATGGTAGGGTGGCTGTGGTTCTGGCAGGATAGAGCAGAGACAACTCCCCCTAGCCTGGACTGCAAGGAGGAGGACCTGGTGGCCACCCCACTGCTGAACGGCTCCAGCCCTGTCGATTATCCGAAATCCCGATTATCTGTCGCCCAGGATGTTTGGATAATCGGGAGTATACTGTATTTGTGGGTCTGTAAAGAACACGGATAACCCGTGTTTGCAGTGATCTGCATATAGACCCTATTATCCTGAAAATGACCTGGCCATGACAACTGATTCACAGTGTGGGGAAATACAGACAGCAAGTATTGCTATTTTATTATCGGTATTGCTGTAGTGCCTAGGAGCCCTAATCATGGACCAGGATCTCCTTTTGCTAGGTGCTGTACAAACACAGAACAGAAATGTGGTGACTTTTTCCCCTTTCCTTTCCCCAAAGCATGGTGAGGTTCACTCTGCAGTTGGAGCTGCATTTGCCTGTCCACAGATAGCCTTGGGGGCGAGAAATGAGAGTGGGCTTCAAACCAGAAGGATCCATGGTGAAAGCACTACAACCCTGCAGAATGGCCTTGGGTGAATGGCTTTCCATTTGCTTGCAGCAATGCTCCTTTAAAACAAACAGGCTCATTAAACTAGCTAAGGATTTTTCCCAACACTTAATATCAGAGGAAGGTGGGCAAAATTAGAGGGGATTGGTGTCTAAGGGGGAAGGACATTAACAGTGTTGGTACTCTCCGGAGGGGAGGGGTAGATTATGTACAGTGCACAAAAGCCAGAGTGCAGGGTTGTACAGAGAGACCTATGCCTAGGTGAGCTGAGGGAAACTGCTAGGTCTGAGCAGAAGCGACGGGGTATTTTGCCCCGCGTTCAAACTGCTCTAATTTCAGAGCAGGCAGGTAAAATGACCTGAGGACTGAACAGCTGCTCTCCTTTGATAAGGACTGCTGCTAGAGAGAGCAGCTGATTGATCGCAGATTCTACAAGGCTACTAGGCAACTCCGTATCCTCCCACCTCCCCCAACTGTAGCCTGTGGCTTCCATGCCATAACTTGCCCTAAGTTTGTTAGCTTTTTAGGTGAAATTTTTGATTTGCCTAATGTTCTGTCCTTTTGGAGTTGATGCTTTGGTTATGACAGAAGGGACTTCCCTCCCCTCTCTGAGTGCAAAGGAGTTTGGAAGACAGCGGTCATGACAAAACTAACAGTTTGCTTTGCTGAATTGCATAGATTGATTCTGAAAGTCACAACTGTGTATTTTCTACTGAAATTTTCATTTTCATAGAAAATGGAAATCCCATACATGCAAATGAAAAATAGGAAGAATAGTAAGCGGCCAATGAGGCTCCCTCAGGAGCGCTTTAATGACCTGAAAATCAAAAAGAAATCCTACAGAAAGTGGAAATGTGGACAAATTGCTACAGATGAGTACAAAAGATAGCAAAAGCATATAAGGACAAAATCAGAAAGGCTAAGGCACAACATGAGTTATACCTTGAAAGGGACATAAAAAGCAATAAGAAGAGGTTCCATAAATACATTGGGAGCAAGGAAAAGCTGAAGGAAAGTGTAGGTCCTCTACTTAGTGGGGAAGGAGAGCTAATGGATGCCATCAAGAAAGCTGAGGTGTTCAATTCCTATTTTGCTTCAGTCTTTACTAAAAAGGTAAATTGTGACCAGATTCTTAACACAATTAATGTTAACAAGGGGGAAGGAACACAAGCCAAAATAGGGAAAGAAAAAGTTAAAGAATATTTAGATAAGTTAGATGTATACATCTAACAGCAGAGGCTTATGAAATTCACCCTAGAGTACTTAACAAACTAGCCGATTCAATCTCAGAACCATTAGCGATTATCTTCAAGATCTCATGGGTGATGGGTGAGGTCCCAGAGGACTGAAGAAGGGCAAACATAGTAACTGTTCTTTTTTAAAGGGAACAAAGTGCCAGGGAATTCTAGACCAATCAACCAAACATAGATACATGGAAAGATACTGGAACAAGTTATTAAACAATCAATTTGTAAACATCTAGAGGATAATAGGATAATAAGTAATAGCCAACATGTATTTGTCAAGAACAATTCATGCCAAACCAACCTCACATCCTTCTTTGACAGGGTTACTAGCCTAGTGGATCAGGGGAAACTGTAGATGTGATATATCTTGATTTTAGTAAGGTTTTTACAGACCCACATGACATTCTCATAAGCAAACTAGGAGAAGTTGTCTAGATGAAATTACTGTAAGATGGGTTGAAAGACCATATTCAAATAGTAGTTATCAATGGTTCGCTGTCAAACTGAGAGGCTATATCTAGTGGGTCCAGCATAGATCTGGCCTTGGCCCGATACTATTCAATATTTTCATTAATGACTTGGATAATGGAGTGGAGAGTACACTTATAAAATTTGCAGATAACACCAAGCTGGGAGGGGTTGCAAGCACTAGGGAGGATAGGATTAGAATTCAAAATGACCTTGATAAATTGGAGAATTGGTCTGAAATCAACAAGATGAGATTCAATAAAGTACTACCTTTAGGGAGGAAAAATCAAATGCACAACTATAAAATGGGGAATAACTGCCTGGGCAGCAGTACTGATCAAAAGGATCTGGGGGTTATAGTGGGTCACAAATTGAATGAGTCAACAGTGTGATGCACCTTCTAAAAAGGCTAATATAATTCTGAGGTATGTTAACAGGAGTGTCATATATAAGATATGGGAGGTACTTGTCCTGCTCCACACAGCACTGGTGAGGCCTCAGCTGGAGTACTGTGTCCAGTTCTGGGTGCCACGCTTTAGGAAAGATATGGACAAATTGGAGAGAGTCTAGAGGAGAGCAGCAAAAATGTTAAAAGTTTTAGAAAACCTGACCTGTAAATTTTAAAAAAACCTGGTTTGTTTAGTCTTGGGAAAAGAAGACCGGGGGGGACCTATAACAATCTTCAAATATGTTAAGGGCTGCTATTAAGAAGATGGTGTCAGGGATAATCTATGTATTCTCGGTCCTGTTTCTTGAGGTCCCCTCTAATCTTATGTTTCTATGATTCTGTGATTTACTTGTACCTAAACTATGTTTGAGATCCAGTCTTTAATGTTCAGAAGCCCAAACATTTACACTCATGCTGCAGTAAAACTATTAGGGATCATTTTTATAGTGTGAGTAATAAACAGGTAACATGAATTCTAAGATTGTTACAGTCATTTTATTATATAGCTGATATCTTCTTAAATTATATCCCTCCTGTAGCAATGAAAACTTTACCCCTTGTGTCCCAAAGCAAAGGAGGGAAACGGGCAATATTTCTCATTACTTCAATGAGTATCTCAGATGGGAATTGACTTTTGACTCCTTTCCAAGAGAAATATGATACAAGAAGTTAAAATAAGGAACAATGATTAACTTCCGTACTTGGGGTATTTTCCTATTGTATCTTTATTGAGTGACTCAAGTTTAGTTTTCCATTCGTTTCTGTGATTTGACATTTGTGTCATTCTCATTTCATCTTTTCATTGCATTCAGTGAGGTACTTCAGGGGCCTTAGAGTAATACGGTCTACCACTTAGCTTTCCTGGAAAATTGGAAAGCAGATATACTAAGACCACAAGCAGAGGGGAGAACATTATAGTATTTCTTTCCTCTGGCTGTCTCTCAATGTACTTTGCTTTATTTGTCTGCCTTTAAAGTATAAGGTCTCTTGAGCAGGGTGTGGCTCAATATTTGTCTTGATACAGACTGAGGATACTGTCAATAATTAACAGCTATTGATTAAAAATAGAATTCTGCTCCAACATGGTTTAATGTTTGCTCTATTAAATCTTTTGAAGTAATGATAGAATTTTAATATTTTTTCAGACACTAAAAATGTTGTTATATAACAAGATCAGAAATAGGTGAAGTAGTTTGCACACAGTACTTTTCATGTGAAGCTTTTACTGTGCTATATGAAGGTAGATAGGTATTATCCACATTTTACTTGTGTGGTGGCTGAGGCACAAAGGGGTTTGAGCTACAGTTTTCAAAAGTGACACCTAAATTTGAGCACCTCCATTTTTGGATGCCCAACTTGACTTAAGTTTGGTACCTAAAAATGGAAACACCTAAAACGGGTGGCCACTTTTTGGAAACTTTGGTGTAAGTGACCTCTCAAAGTCATACAACAAGTTAATGTCAGAATTTGAAATGAACTCATGTCTGACTCCCGTGCGTGTCCTCTACCCATTGGACATCACTGTCTCAAGACTATGGGACATAAGCTAGAAAAGTACTCTACACCCTAAAAATAAACCAACAGAATTTGTATGCATTTGATTCTCTTGATCTTCATAACATCTAATACCGATATGTATATAACAGGTGTTTGAAATGGATATCGCCAAGCAATTGCAAGCTTACGAAGTTGAATATCACGTGCTTCAGGATGAGTTGATAGATTCGTCTCTCAATGACAATCAGAGAATGGATAAGTTGGAAAAGGCAAACACTAGTTTGAGAAAACAGAACTTTGATCTACTGGAGGAATTGCAGGTACTGTTTATATTTCCAGCTAACGAGCCATTGAACCATTGTTTGTACATATTTTCAGAAGAGACCATTGTATAGAGGAGACGTGGGCCAGATTTGATCCAGGTTAAGGCATAACTGAAATTACTGTCTTCAGTATTTCCTATTTACAGTTGGTACCAGGTGGACTTACCAGTATTTAAAACCTTTTAAGTTTGTCTGGAGCAAAGGTTCCCGAATGTAGGGCTTGCTGGTGGCCTGTGGAAAGCTGGCTGGGGTCACATGATGCTGGCTCACTTCAGTTAATGAAATTTAGCAGCTGGAGAAGACAGCTGAAGATACATTAATGCAGTCTTAACATTATTTTCGCATTTAAGCAATTGCTGTAGTCAGGCAGTCACAAATTGGAGAGATGTCTATGAGACACATTCTCTATTAAGAGGCGATCCTTGTTATGAGAAAGTTTGAGAACCCATGATCCAGGATGATGAGAAAGACATGAAATAGTACATCTTGGATGTCCAGTACCTGCCCTCAGTCCATTCAGTCTGCAGTTGTGTCGGTGGCTGCTTCAAAACTTGCCCTCTGTGGGATGAGAGAGACAAGGCAGGTCTTCAGAGATGGTACAGTTGGTCTCTGAAGGAGCTGATCCACTCTGAACTCCTCAGGGCTCCTTCTTTCTGTCTGATTTGCAAAGAAACGTTAATATAACTTCTGAGTACATGGGTAGTTTAAAGGGAATATGGGGGTAAGAGATGGGCTCTATATTTAGATTTTCAAGCTTCTTGGATCAAAAACAAAAACTTGGAAGCTAGATGACAGAGTAGGTAAGATGGAATACAGGCCTTTGGATGCTTATTCAAATCCTACTCAGCTTGGTTTGTTCCTCAATCATTGGCAGACACATTTTTTCCTTCTGAGTCATGATGTTTCTGCACCTTGATACCTATGGAGTGTAGTTTTGTAGTGAGTAGAGCCCTGGATTAATAGTGATGCTACCTTTAATTAAAAGGTGGCAGCTAATAAATGTAAAGATCTATTAGCTAATTATTTGTAGATTTAACTTTTAATCTGCTCTGTAGTATATTCTAGGTTTAATCATATTAGAGCCTAAACAATAAAGATTAGAGAGAGAAAGAGAAAAAAATGGATTGTTGTCTGTAGACAATGCTATTTATAAGTAATACTAAGTTTGTGGAAGTAGCGGTACTTACGTTTTAATTCAGTGTGTGTTTTCTACATAATTAGAAAATCTGTTGCAAACATGACATATCTCAGTAGGACTTTTTAAAAGCCTGAAGGACTGAGGAGAACTCCGTCTGTAAGGTCCACTGGTTTCACAGTTTTTAGGAAATTCTTGTTTTCTTTTTCCCCTTAAGGTGGCAAATGGAAAGATACAAAACCTAGAAGCTACAGTAGAATTTTTACTGAACAACGAGTGCAAATTGAAGCAATCCATTCTCACTTTAGAGCTGGAGAGGAAAGCTTTGCTGCAGACAGTGGAAGATCTACGCACGCAGACAGGCAGCCCAGGTGGAAAACATCTACTTACCAGGCAAGAGTGCATGGATGCCAACTGACAGCTACAATTGTAATGGAGCAGACAAGTTCCACAAAGAGAAAGGGAAGAACTGTTTTTTACTGTCATCATTGGGATTTGACACTGTCTTCTTAGCATTGTCCATGCCTTACTGTAGCCGAGTGAGGGAATGGGAGTTTCTGCAAAAATACGAGAAGCACGTTTCTCAGGGAGGAGACTCTTGCTTGTTAACTTATAGAATTCTTGTGAACTATAAAATATTGCAATATAATGATGGGCAGGAATAAATAACTAAATAACATATGTACACTCCAGATACAATGTACTGTAAATATCTGCGGTCATGGACTCTTCCATAAGTGCTTCTAAACCTAAGTGCTTCATATTGGTTACGTGTGTTCCTTTTTCTATTAGAAAACTCCACGTTTAATAGGTGTCCTGTAAAAGGCTGGAGAACTACAGCAGTGAAGAGCTTTTGAACTGACTCTGCCTTTTTGGGACTACAAAGTATTAGCATTCACAGATAAGTTTGTGATCATACTCGATAGATTTCTGAGGGTGTAATTCTCCTGTGGCTTGGCTGGGTTCCACTAATCATGTTATTAAGGCCTCTGATAACTGCTTTGTGTGCTTAAAGGTGTTAACTTAGTGGACCCTGGAGAGCTGGACTTGGTTGTACGTAACTATAATTGTGGGGCATTTTGCCATCAGTCTTTATAAAACATACTGTTTTAATACGTTTTGTTTTGACATCCATTGTTTTAGTACTGTTGATTGACATGATCTGATAAATGTACCATTGAAGGTAACTGCATTTTACTTTCTCAACAGAATACACTGACATTGTCATGGCGGAGTCTGTCACTCTCACAGCATTGTAGTGGATTTATCATCATGCCTAAAGGCGTCATTTTATTTATTTCTGATCTGCTATGTGATGTCAGACAGCCTCTTTCGGGGAACTGAATGCCTGTTGATTTTTAGTTTCATTTGGTACTCGGTGCCCATCCACCCTTTGGAGAAAAACAATATTTAAGACTCTTTCTCTGAAATGATGGAGGCACTTCAAAGCTTGATTTTGTGCCAGACATACTTACACTGCTTTATAAAGGATATTGGGCTAAAGTATGAATTAGGACCGCGGCCTATTTACAATGCCTCTTTTGAGGAAGATTACACATTTTAAAAAGCTCACTTTTCTGGAATATACAATGAAAGTAGTTTTCCGGCCAGTTAAAGCACCACTGTTTCAACTACAGGTGCAATAATATCCAAGGAGATCCAGTTAACTTGTTGTTTAATTAGACCAAATAGTATCACAAATTTCTTCTTCCCCAAACTCAGTGTTACAGGTATCAACTTGCTGCTATAGTGGAGATTAGTATTTCAGATGTGAGTTTCCTAAATTGTCAATTTCTTATTCTTAAAATTTTAGGGCACATTTATTTCTCCAATCCACAATGTGGTGGAAGATCTTTTACTTCATGCATGTTTCTCTATGGTACATTCTGCTTACAGCTGTAATGTGCACTCTGGTGCGAATCCAATACCAGCATGTGGATTAAAGTGGAGAATTTGCTCTTTAATTTCTAAGTTACAGATTGATTCCTGTAATTTCTTAGATGTGGCTGGTTCTCCAAATCCACATTGTTTGCTTAGAGACTAAATTCCATACAAGCCAGACGTTACAAATCTGTTTACCTCTTGTGTTTTTTTTTAATTGAGAAACCATACAGAAGCTCACACTTCACATTTTAAAATCTCTTTACATCATACCCTTTTACAGTTTGAGGGCTAAGTTATGTTGCATTTGGACATCTAGGGGCCATTACTCATACACTGGCTTTTTACATTAAACAAAAGAGCAACAGAGAAAAGTTAGTGATCCATGCCAAAATTTATGTTTGCACGTTTTGTTGCATCTAAGAACAAAAACAAAGTTTTCTGTGTGATAGTTCAGAAGCTAATATGTTAAGAGTTTCCCTGAGATCACAGTATCATTTTTAAATAGTTATTAATGAAAACTGATGGACATCAAACTTTTTTAGACACACTAAGAACCCCGGTTGTGAACTCGGGACCTGCGTCTGTATCTCTTGGCTCAGGATGTATATTTTTGGTATGACTCAAGTTGTGCAGTAATTCGGCTCATGTTCTGCTTCTCTCCCAGTGTAAGTGGAGGAAAGCCCCTGGCCCAACGACTTTTTCAAGAATTTATTTTCCTTCAGACAATATGACGCTGAGTTGAAAGGGGGCTAGAACAACTGTTCCCAGAGGAGAGTGTGGTTAGTAGGTAGGCATCCGTTTTCAGTCTCAAGTGTCCACATGTTTGTGACAGTTTGATTTTGCCAAGAAGCAGAGCTTTCCAGGGTGAAACCTGTCCATGTACAAATGCACCAGATTTTGCTAAAGTTGCAAATAGCATACCTGACTGACACACTGAGGCCCAGGCCATCCCCAGCACAGGATCTGAGCATTAATGGGACAACTGCATTAGGTTCTCCCTTGCTTACATGGAATCAGATGAGCGTGCTGTTTCTGTGGGATCATTTTCCTGCCTCTTCTGCCCTGTGCCACTCGATCTCAAGGGGGGGCAGGAAGGAAGAACATGGAGTAAGGGAGGTGCCCTGCTCCAAGTCACCAACCCTTGCAAAGCGCAGGCGTTTCCATGCAGAAATGAGAGAGAAGTAATACAGCTTGGTGCTGTATGACACCCCTGACACACACCTTCAGGTCCCCTCTGCTTCTGGGGACTCTACCAATAGCAGTATAGTTCTGTGTTGCCAGGTGGAGAGGATCCTGAACTATCCCTACAGGCTGGCTGCTGTATCAGAACAGAAGGCAGCTCCCTTACCTGTAGTTAAGAGATACTAGCGAGTTGGAAACCCATAAATCCATGTGCTAGCCTCCAAAAGGGAAAACTCCTCCCTCTCGAGGGAACGGTCTGAGGAAAGCTGCAAGTTGAAGCTCACAGAATTTTCTCCCCCTTGCCTCTCCCACAGGTGATTAGTCTCTCTCCCTCTCCCCCCCCCACCCCGATGGTACACAGAAAAGGGGGAGAAAAAAGAAAGGGGGAAAAAGAGAGCGACTTCCAAGGATTCCCCAGGAGATGGTCCCAAGAGTTCACACACCCTGCCCCCCCTCTGCCCCTGCCCCACCCCCAGCACACGCCCTGCCCCCCATGCACAACTTGCGTCTTATGAGGTGCTCTGCTGTGCTCGTTCTGTGACTAATATAAGGGTGCTGATGACGCACACTAGCGTACCAGCTCAGAGATGCACTGTGAACAGGAGAGGGTGTCAGCTAGTGCAGAAGAGAGACTTGGCCTGTAATGTGGCAGGAGCTAATCATGCCGTCTGTGACAAGAAAGAATCTGCTCCACTAGTGCTTTGCAGTCAACAGTGCCCCGTGGACTGCGGAGCTGGTCTGGCATGTGGAATGCCACCCTGCAATAGCAGGCTTTCTTTTCCTTGTCCCGCATCTGAGAACATGCTGCTGCCCTCATTGCTGGCTCATTGGCATGTCAATACCTTGGCCCATTTATTTTTAAGAGATCATTATATAGAACCTGAGAATGACACAGCGCCCATCATCTGAGGAGGTCGATGCACTTTACAAAGGTGGGTAAGCATTATGATTCCCCTTTAATACAGAGTGAGGAAGTGAGTCACAAAGGAGTTGAGAGACTTGTCACAGGTTGCACAATGTGTTAGTGGTAGCTGGGACTAAAATCCAGGTCTTCTGAGTCCCAGACCTGCACTCTCAAACACTAAATAATTCTGCCCCTCGTTGGTTACTGCAAAATCTCTGGCTTTCTCTGATGTTACTGTATCAGAGGGGTAGCCGTGTTAGTCTGGATCTGTAAAAAGCAACAGAGAGCCCTGTGGCACCTTTAAGTCTAACAGATGTATTGGAGCATAAGCTTTCGTGGGTGAATGCCCACTTCGTCGGATGCATGTAATGGAAATTTCCAAAGGCAGGTATAAATATGCTGGCAAGAATCAGTATGGAGATAACGAGGTTAGTTCAATCAGGGAGGGTGAGGTCCTCTGCTAGCAGTTGAAGTGTGATGTTACTATGGTCTTCAGAGCCGTGACATTTTCTTTTCACTTTCAATTCCCCTTTTTCCTCCCCCTCCCCGCTCCAAAATGAGCGTGCTTCTTCACGCTTTCAAAGGAGGTGGATAAACCTTAGGCCAGATTCTGTGCTGCAACTCTCAGGAGAGACAACACGGGAAGGCAGAGGGGATCGATGGTGGCTTCAGCCTAACTTTGTGGCTCTCAGATTCTAGCACTAATTAGAGCAGTGTCTTGGGGCTGGTCCGACTACTAACAGCTTCCTCAGACTTTCTAATCTGCTATTCTGCAGCCCAGAATGTCCAGAGGACACAGTGCTGGAGCAGTGTAAAAAGCAGAGCATGGGCAGAGCACGGGCTGGAATCTGATCCAATGACTGTAATTACACTCTTCTCCCGTTGATCTCACACCCACACACCCTCAGAGCCTGATGGGCAGGCGTAGTTCAGCTGGGAAGCTTGGCTCATGGAGAAGAATGGGAGCCTGAGGCACCATGAATGTATTTTCATATTGGAGGTTTTGGGTCTTTGGTTTTTCAACACAAATTGAAATTTTCCATGGAAACCAAACACTTCACATTAAGCATTTCATTTAGTCAAAACCCAATTTTCTGTCCAAAACCAGGTTAGATGGAAAATTTCTGACCCACCCTACTTAATACGCTACATTAATGTATGTGTCCCCATCTCTGAGACACATGTAGATATTACGGAACTGCTGGAGCAATTTTTAAAAAAAATTCTGCCCTCTTACAATTGCAGAATTTGAATATTGAACTAAAGCGTTATTTGTTTACTGTAGTGAAAATTAAGCTCTGTTTGTTTCATCAGTGCTTGCTGTATGGGGGCGTCTTGTGTTGGGCTGTGGGACTCATTTGAAAATGGGTGTATTGGCAAAAAGGATATAGCTTTATTTGGGTGGTTTGGCCACTTTCCCTTTCTTGGAGCAGATTAATATTTGTTAAATTGGTTCCCTTTCCCAAGCTATTGAGAGGTGAAGTAAAGAAGCCTTTGGAAATGCACAGCAACAAGAGTCTTGGACCTAAAAGACCTGGGAAGTGTGCTGTGTATTCCTGAGTGCTATCTACTGGTACTTATCAACTAACTCTTAACAGATGTACAGATATCTCTTTTATAGAGCACTCCTATAACACAGACAAGGTGGTCTGGTGTCAGGGGGCAGAGATGCGATGGACAGCAAATCCTTTTGGCCTGAGGGTGAGAGATTCTGTCTGTTTTTGCTAGTCATTAGGAATCAATTGCTAGGTCTGGGCTAGAGAGCAGGGATGAGAGCAAGTTCCACAAAAGGACATAGAATTTCGTAGAATCCTATTTGTCTCATTGGTCAGAGGAAAGAATGGGGTAGAAGTGTGAGTTCCTTTGGGCAGGGGAGAGCATCTGGGGAGGTTGGGGCCCTACAATGATTTATGTATTGTATTTGAATATTAATGAGAACCCAGCATGGGCATTCTTTTATGTTGCGTTCAAATAAACATCCATTAATTAATAGAAATTCTGTAGCTGGCTTGTGGGAGAAGAATAAGCCACATTTTTACTTTATATGCATACACCTTTCCCATTCTTTTCAGTGCATGTATCATGTCTATTTGAAGACAATTTCACCCTTATTATGGAATAAGAACAACACATCTGTCAAGTTTTAAGGCTACCCAGTAATGGTCTCCACATTCAACCTTAACAATTACACATTTCTCCCCTTGAATTTAAGAGACTTAAGACCATTCCTGCGAGCCTTACATATGTGAGCAGTCTCTGGGCAGTACAGATCTGTCGCATCTTACGCACATTTAACATGCGCGATTTCAACTTTACACGGTCGGCAAAAACAACAATTTTAATACTATACCTGTAGTGCGGGCAATTTCGCCTGCCATTGAACTCAATGGGGTTTTGGCTATACGCGGTTTTCGCTTTACGCGTTAACCGCGGAACGGAACCCCTGCGTAAGATGAGACAGACCTGTATCATTGCGAGTGACAGGAGTGAAGCTTTGCATGATCATATCCTGAACTTTATTCCTGGTTTCTAGCTGTGTAAATGATTTCCATATATATTTTGTGTGTATACAACATATAAATGACTTGTATTTTTATATCAGTGAACTTAAGTTTGCACATTGCAGTTTTTACCCAGTAAATTTAATTTTTGAATGTTAACCTCTTCTGGTCTTGTTTTATCAAATTACTGTAGTGATAGTGTGTGTGAATATCAGTGTTTCCATTACACTCATTTCCACCTGTATATTTTTTGCTATAGTAAGCACATTCTGCATGGAGGTTAGTGCGCTATAACTGAATATACAGCTGATTAACAAAATGAAAATAAAGCACTAGAATATTTATATAACTTAAAATTGAAATCTATTTGATGGGCTTCTATTGCATAGGGCAAAACCAATTGCTACGGTTTGAAAGACCCAAGCGCCATCCAAGTCAATGACGTATGGAACTGTCTTCCACAATGATCAGTCTGATGCATTCACACCCAGATTGGATACGTGTATTACTAACTTTTTACACTCCTCTTCTGTCAACACAGACGAGCATGTATTACACGATAATGTGACCATTAAACTGCATGCTTTAATTTTAAAAGAACAAAATGCTCAATGGCTGAAATCCTGGCCTCATCGCAGTCAGTGAGAGTTTTGCCACTGACTGCAACGGGACCAGGATTTCACTCAGTCTATATATGAAAACATAAGATCTTTATATCCCACTTCTCCTCTGCACTCCCCTTACTGAATACAGAAGGCATGGAAGACTAGAGCAGAGAAAAATATTTTCCTAAATCTAATGGATTTAACATTTTAAATCACGTCATTACCAGCTGAAGGAATTCCTGTTTTTTCTAGACACGTCTGATCTTTGTTGCTGATTCCTTCCAGCTGCTGTTTCTCTCCATCCTGTACAGAAGCCCATCCCATGTCACTCCCCAGATCCCATTTCCTTTCTCTCCAAAACTCAAACTTCCCTGCCAATATGTCTGGAGTTGAAACATTTTACAATTAGGTTGCATCTGTACTAAAAGGGTGAGGGTATGAGGGAATGGATCATACCAGCATCATAGCCTCCATTTGCCCATCGAATGTCTCCAAGTTGCCGGCTAATTGGAGTGTTGATTGGGTGAATGGGGATTCTGAGGGCTGAGCATCTCAATTTTCTCTCTCAAATCCAAAAATCTTTTCCTGTACATGATCTGATTACTATAATTAATCTTGATATTTTACTAGGTTTTTTCCCCCTCTTGCAAGTGACCTATTTTTAGAAGAGTGTTTTTACTTGTGTGCACATAACTTTCATTTAAAGCATAATGCAACTGAGGGAGACACTAGAGTGACCTGTAACAGCTGAGCAGTTTTTTATGGGTATTTCCCTATATACACAAGAGGCTGCAATGGAGGTATCTCAGATACCATTGTGTGGCACCTGTACCTAAACGGTGACTTCCTAATGGTGACCAGAGCTGATTGAATACTATTTGTTCCATGATATTTGGCTAATATCCGTGTTTCTTAATTGAAAAATCATTGTACCCTGTTTGATAAGTTCTAATAGTGACTGCTGCAGTGTCATTTTTTCCCCTCTCCCCAAAATACTCTGAGTGTCTAGCACCTTGTAGCATTAGTGATGTAGTTAGTGCGAGAGTGTTGCCAAAAACCATCTAACAATTACACAGTACAGCACTGTCAGCAAACCTCTGTCCTAAGATTTTTTTTTTCCAAATTTAAACATAGTAACACCAGAAGAATGGCCCAGTGGTTAGTGTGCTGACTTGGAACTCAGGTGGTAGAGGTTCAATTCCCTGCTCCCCCACATAGTTTCTGTGACTTTGGGCATGTCACTTAATTCCAGATCCTCAGAAGTATTTAAGCACCTAACTCTGTGGGTGTTAGGTGCCTAAAAACTTTCAGGTATGTCTACACGGCAAAGAAAAACCTGCAGCTGGCCCATGCCAGCCAGCTTGGGCTGCAGGGCTGTTTCATTGCTGTGTGGACTTCTGGGTTTGGGCTAGAGCCTGCGGC